TTGCTGCATCGAATGATGTGAATTGTTTCTTTCTTCCTCAAGTTGACCTTCAACCCTCTTAATTGTGGCAACATTTTGTTGCCTTTGTGCCTGCGGTTGACCGCATTCTTTCAAATGGGCAGAAGAGAAAGGGTTGCCTTTTTGATAACTTGATTAGGAAACTTACCTAACATTATTCTTGATTAAGTCACCATTAATTATGATAATGATGCTAGCTGGCAAGGCAGAGCGAATCTCTGCACAAAAGGCAACCAGCCAGCCAGCCATCCAAGCAGCCACACACGACTAAGAGCCAAGAGCTGAGAACTGAAGACAAAAAAAGGCAATTGAAATGGGAACAGGATATTGTAGCATAAGGGCAGGACAAACAAAAGCGGCAACGTGTGCGCGAATAAAAAATGAGCAGATCATAAAAACAACAACGAAATACTAGCAGAGAAATGTGTGATAAATGTCAACTTCCTGCTCAGCATCGGACACGCTGCCGTAAACGACGACGGTTGACGACTTCATCTGAATGATTTCTAGATTTTCTACGGAAGTTATCTAATAACGGCCGACACTTTAATCCTTTTATGAAATTAATCAAGTGTGGCCATAAAAAGTGATGAAAAGCAATGCAGCTGCTTTGGGACACAAAATAGAATACTCGCACGCACGCTGGACAGCATTGCCAGATGGCCAAATACATATGTAGACGAGTATATAGAAATGAAGTTACAGCAACTCCGACCAATTAAATAAAGTTAGAATACACTAGACTCTCTTAGCTAAAATATAGTTTGTAGTGCCAATCATTTTAATGGCAATTGTATGATATCAAGCTCCGATTTCAATGAAAAATATGGGAGGCTCTATCAAAGACTCTCACAAACTTTAGTTAGGAAATGGAGATAAATTGAAAAATTGTTAGTCGACTTATTTATGCTCTGATCATTCCAATGATAGCTCCATATCATCCATAAAACTGTAGTGTGGGTAGCTCAGAAAATGAAGGAAGATAATATATATAAGGTTATCAAAACACTTAAGTTTGTAAAATAGAATTAATATTTTGAACATTGAAGCGATTTTATTAATATCGTTATTTTATTTTTGGGACAAAAGACCGTGTGACTGATTCAATTAATTTAAACGTGAACCTCCCCATAGAAGAATCATTACAAATATATCCATACAATCAAGATCTGATTATTCTTCAACAATATGTTTGATCAATAAGTTTCGCAGGATTGCAAATTACGAGTATATATCTAATTTATTGCAAAACTGCTCTATTCGATAATTCATGGATAATAGGTTCTTTACAAATATTATGGTTATTTTATTTTTTAGGAATTTTTGTTTAAATTTATAATAACTGTTTTCTTATTTGATATACTATTTATTCGGTTGCCAGAGTAATGCACGTGAAAAACTTAATGACTAATGATAGATACAAGTATATAGCTCGATAAGTACTAAAACACAACGCTGGATAATCCGAGCAAGAAATGGTAATTGTGTCAAAAAGTCTGCTTAATTTCAGTTTTGAGTGGGTTTAAGGAACAGCTTGACTCCTAGCTGATTATCAAACATTCATTTCAGTCATCAACTAAAAGAGCCAGTCGAGAGAAGTCTGTTCTTTAACCACTATAAGAAGTAACTCATTCAAGCCCCTTTAATTTCTTTAAGCACTGAACTACGCTATTTTATAACTTTTCCACAAAACCAAAATTATGCATAAGAACAATAGGTTTTCGAACGTTGCCCCAATCCTACACTCTTGACAATGTTACAAATTGATTGATAAAATAGTGAAATGTGAATAAAAAGACCAAAGAAAACTCATAAAGAAAAACAAAAATTCAATTATTCAGCTCACATGATAAGCGAGGCATTCATAAATTACCCATAAACCAGACCCTGCACCCAAAACATAACCAGAAAGTTACAAATCCTCTAGACACCCATTGATCAGCGAGTATGCATTTTTATGCTTTATGTTGCTCGTATGTGATTTCCGCTCGGGAACTGCTCTAGGTGGGCTAGACCCATCAAGCCAGCGACAAGAAATAAAAATACGCATGCCGTCTGCATATTAAAACAATAGAAAACAGTTGCACTTCAACATCAACTACCTAGCAGCTGGCCAAGCTGCTGCTACCAAATCCTTTAGCAACCGCAATCCATCCGACTTTCCAATACAGAATGACAAATGAACGGGAGCAGATCGCCAGACTGAGGAACTGTCAGTAGGCAAAAAGTTGTCAAAACAAATGGTTAAGGTAAACGATGGCAATTGAACATTTTGGCAAGCCCGAACGAAAAAAGAAAAACAATTAGAAAACAGTTGCAAAGTTGGGCACACAAAGGCAACAACTTCCCGTACTTCAACTTCAAATGCAATGCGCTCTTTTTAAAAGTTATAATCATTAATCATGCAAAGAGGCCACAGCTACAACAACGACAATAATGCTTAACGGTTTGGTGAACAAGACACGGCTAGGTAAATTAGGGAATACCATTAAAGATGTGATCGATTCGATCTTGAGCCAAACAATCTTCAGTTGACACACATTTACTTGCCATCCAATCAAGAACAAAACAAACTTACGTTTTCACATGTCGCATGCCAAGAACCTCTTCGGGACGCTGCTCCCTTTCTAGATGTTCAGCATAATATGGAGTTCATGTCATTTATCATGTTGTCAAGCATACTTTTTGCACACCTCTCTGCGAGTATGTGCCGATATTTTAGGGTTAGATGTTGATGCCAAAGGGTTGTTGCTTAGAGTACATTAATAATTGTTTTCAGCTTCTCGTAATTGTTATTCTGCAATACAAGTATGCCGATATTTGTATTTGGACAGATTTGTTTTGTTTCTATGGCTATTTCTAGCTTTTCTGATTTGTTCAACTGTGTCTGAAAATATACACAATAGTTAAATTCATCGTAGTAAGCGTAACTAAATGGAGGAGCACCTTTTGGTTCCATGCTGCTGATTTACTGTTTGTTAAGACTATTTCCACTTTGTACTTTTCTGTATATAGTGTGAGAGTAAGACAGCATCAATCGATGAAATTGTATTCAAAATGTCGTAAAATAAACTAGTTTAGTTTCTGCAGAAGCACTCAATATTTTTGTATTATTTTAAACTCTTTAGATAGCAACATTGAACGACTGCGGTTAGAAATTCATCACTCATATTGCCGAAATACCATTTGAAAAATTTAAATCATAATGCAATCTGTTAGCAATCTCCCATCACTCTACAGTCCTTGCATTAATTATACTTTTTTCAGATGCTTGATAATGTTAACAAAAAAATTTAATCATGTCTCCTTTTCATTGCATACTTTACGGCAATCGATTACGATCGATGCCGATGATGATAATGCTCATGGATTTCATTTTCTGTGCCATTAGTCATTAAGGTTAAATGCTTTGATTTTGGCATACGTTCAAGGCAGCGGAAACAATTGACGATACTCGCAATCTCCCAAACAACAACTGGCATTGAATGCAATGCCCAAATCATGTGCCACTTCAACATGCAACTTGCCCTGCGAAACTAGAACGCGAGTGAGAACCTTTTGGCTTTGTTTGCCGAAAAAGTTAAGGTCAACTTTAATGAGTTGAGCATTGGCAGGCATTGAACTTGTTGCGCGGACTGCCAACCGCCAACTACCAACTTCCAACTTCCAACTTCCAACTACGAACTGTCGACTGTTCATTAGTCTGGTGGTCTCTCCTAGTGTCTAACACTGCCTTGACTTCAATTTGGCAGCCAAGTTGCATAAACATGCAATTTGCTAGAGCCAACAAATGAAATGAGTTCCCCGGAGTTCGGTTGCATTGTTTAGAGGCGGTGGCAACGGGCGGCATATGGCAGGCACTCAGTCGCTAACAAGCAAAATATCTCATAGTTATACAACGCACAAAATGCGTTAATTAACAGAAAATATGCAGCGCCCACTGGCAACGCCGCCAACAAGCCAACAAGCCACCAAGCCACCAAACCAACAGACCAACAAACGCCCGCTCCAGGCCGGGCAGCTTATACGGATTTCGATGTTTCGGCCTATGCCTGGGGGCTTATGCGATTTACGATTTTTCGCATAAATTTACGCGAACGCTCGTAAAAATGCGTAAAATACGACATTTTGAGTTCTGTGAAAGTGTAACACGAGTTCAACAGCAGGGCAGACCCAGCACAGCAGCTTACCGGATCCTCCTCAGCCCCATCAACATCGACATGAGCGCAACAATGGGGCAGCAATTTTGATTTGTTGCTTTCAGCGTTAACTTGGCAACAATGTTGCTAATAGATGTTGCCAAGCTGAAGGATAAGCCCCCATAAGTATGTACTCACTTGTATCTATATTATTTGTATGTACTATATGTATGTAACGCAAATGACAACAACAACAACTGGGCTCAAGGGCTAGAGCATTGCTGAATGCTGATAAAAGCCATTAGAGATTCAAAGCCGATTGAAACGAAGATACAAAAATTTACCTATATCCAAAAAGAAACGATTGCGTAAAACCGTAACAAAACATGGAACAACATAACTCTCAATTGTGTAATTTTTGTAATTTCAAATGAACTAAATGGATAACTTAATCTGTATATGAATAAGACAAGTGTGTAGCTGTTCTGGTTCAACAGTTATAGAGACTGACGAAAATATCTAAATTGATTCGCCTTTGTCAAACCTCCTACTGCTTGCTATTTATATTCTGACTTTTAAATATGGGCTTAAGAACCAGACTGGTTCATCAAACTAAAAATTTAAAAAAAGAATCATGAAAACTGTTCTAGGGGGAACTAGAATGAGTTCATGAATTACAAAAATATTCAAACTAAAAATACAGAACCATACTCAATTAATGAAAGTTAGCAGAATGGAATAATGAACTAGTTCACAGCTAGAGTGATATTTCTTGGAACTGCTTGAAGTCAAAATAATATCCAATTTTCTTAGGTGCACAAGATACAAATGTATTTAGGCTGATTACATAAGTTGTTTTACATAAGTTTCCCCATAAAAATAATGTCATTAATCGTCTGCCAAATCACCAACTATCGGTGTGGTTAGTGTGCCCACAGTTTCGGTGGTCACACTAAATGGCAATCCATGTTGAGTGGCCGAGGCCCAACTGCGTCGGGGTAGTATGCGTCCGAAATTGAAATATTTTTGACGCAGCTTATCCTTGATTTCGTCCTCGTTCATAATGGCGCTGGCTTCACGAAAATTCAGAAATATGCGACCCTTCTCATCGGTTTTAATCGGTAATATCTCGGTGCAGACATTGCGTGCCTTGAGCATAAACCCCTCCTCTTCCTGCTCGCCCACGCTGCAAGGATTGCTGTCACCACTCAAGTGGTCGTCGGGCATTACAGCCACACTATCCAAGCGAGAGTCCATGGACTGCGAACGTGGAGGCTTGGCTGTCGATATATGATTCTTCTTTTTGCGCAGACAAAACGGATCGCGATCACTGGCCTTAACATATTGCACCACTGGCCGGTTGACACCCCATTTGGGGCGATCGTCCATTTTGTTGGCATCCTTGTCCTTGCATTGACGCCGTCTGTCTTTGTCTTTGTCCTTTTCCTTTGACTTTGCCTTGAATGTGGTCGTTGTGGTCGTAGTTGTTGTTGTGGTTGTCTCATGGTCCTTCTCGGCTGCAGATTCCTTTGCCAGCTGGCTCTGCGTCTTAGAAGTTTGTGTTGTTGTCGTGGTGGAAACCTCCCTCTTGAGCAGCACCTTATAGAAGTTGTCGTGAAAGAGGCAGAGATCGCAGTTCAGCGGCAACTCTGTTTGGGTTTCCACATCTGCCAGTTGACTGCCGTTGTCACTGCTACATTGTCGAGGGGTCTTTGGACTTGGGTCTGTGGGTTGCAGCGGCGTTTTCATGGGAATCAACGCCATCTTATCCTGTTCCGAGAGCAGAGCAGGACGCGCTAGACTCACTTCCAGGGAGTCGGGTGAAAAACAAGCGCTAGCTGTGCCCAGAGCTGTGCGTGCCGTATCTGCTCCCTCCTCCTCTTTCTCCGCCTGGTATCCGTCTTCAGTGTAGATGGACGTATCCGTGCGCTGCGTCATAGTCGCCTTTGAGTATGAGTTGTCCAGAGTAGATGCAGCTGTGGTTGGCTGCATTTTAGGCTGCTGCACAAAGTATGTGGCTATCTGAAGGTTGCCAATGGCGTTTTGCAGGCCGAAAATATCGCTGGTCACAGGAAGAGGGATCAGCGTAGCCGGCTGCATTATCAACGCCACATTCTCCTTTTCCTCACCGAATGGTCTTGGATTTGGCTCAGCTTTGGCCTCGGTCTTCGGTTCTGTTTCAGGCTGCTTTATGGGCTTAGTAGTGATGCGACGCAGGTTGATGGGTGTGCCAATTAATACCTTCTCCTCCGTAACGGCTGCTGGCTTAACCTGCGGCTGGGTCTGCGGCTGTGGCAGTGATGGTGGGGCGCGTGGAGTATTCGACTGTATGTCATCGCCCTGCTCCAGTTCAGCTTCATTCCCTTCTTCCACGGACAGCACTTTCAAAAGTTCCGCTTTGTGCTCATTTTCATTGGCCTTCTTCTCCTGCGACTGCTGTAGCACGCGTGTTTTCCGCTTCTTCTGCTTTTCCAATTTGGCTGCCACCTCAGCCTTGGCAATGGCATCTAGCATGGCCTGCTGTTTCTTCTTTTGAGCTTCCTCACGCTCCTGCGATTGGCGACGCTCGAATTCAAGACGCTCCTGCTCGATGCTCTTCTGTCGCCGCACACGCTCCTCCTCTATCTGCTCCTCCTGCCGATGGCGCTCCAGCTCCCACTTGCGTATGAGTTCCCGTTCATGTAACTGCTTCTTGATGGCATTGTGGTACTCGGCCGCCTTCCGGCGTTTGTCAATGCGCTCAGCTAACGTGACGGCATCCAATGGCGCATTCTGACCCCGCAAGTAGGTTGAGGAGGATTGCATGGACTGTATATCGTCCTCGCTGTTGAGATCATGCACGCCACGGCTGAGCCATTCGGGCGGTGGTGCCACACCCGCCTGTGGCTGCGCCTGCATATTAAAGTTGGCCCAACGCGCACGCTCCCGTTCGCGCTCATCGTGCATGTAGTAATCGCTCTGCTCCGAGGTGTTCGTCTGCACCTGGTAGGTATTCGATGTGGACACATCTCGGCTGAAGGAAAGGTGAGAGGAGCTGGGCGGTGCGACCATGTAGCAGCATCTATAAGAGAATACAAAAATTGCAATACATTTTCTAAATACTTACGACTATAAGCGATGATTACTAATTCATTGTAAAATAGGTAAAGCAGAGATCACCAAGAAAAAACAATCTCATTGTTATTATCATTTAGTGAGAGTCTTACGAAAGAGAAGGAAAGGAACTGAGAATCTCTGTGGTCCTTCCGTTAGGGAAATCATAATGAAGGTGCTTGTGTCCTACTCCAGACAAAGACTGGGTAATGTTGGCAAAATGAGGAATATGCCTGTGATTTCTAGTGATATCTTTTGACAGGAAATATTTAGATTGGACCATTCTGATAATCATGTTAGAGGTGAGAAGAATTCTATTTCCTGGATCAATCTGGTTCTCTCATTTCACACAAGAACTACACTACTTTTAATTGGAATGAATGATCAGTGCTTAAAGCTTGATAAGCAAATTGACATTCAGTGGAATTTTCTCGCTACTTACCCTTCCGTCGCGTAGCTGTCAGCTGTCAGGGGCTCATAGACCTGCTGCGGTTGTTGGGTTGGTTGTACTCGTCGTCCTTTAATAACATATGAGTTGTTGTGCTGCTGCTGCTGGTCTGGGGCCTTCGACAAAGGCATGGTTTCTTGTGTTGAACCCTGCATCGATCGCTTTAAGCGCCTGCCGTTTCCACCACCACCACCAGCACCAACGCCACCAACCTCCCCCAGACCCAAACCTGCTCCCACGCCGACGCCAATGCGCTCCTCAACGACACTGGCACTGGCCACGCTACCCACCCCACTTATGCTCCCATTCTGACTGACTGCGTCGTTGTACCAAATATCGGGTGTGTGAATATTCTTTGGGGTATCACTCAGATAGCCCGAAGTATCCTCTTCCTGGCAACCGGCAGCCTGGCTATTCCCATTGTTGTTTAATCGATTAGCGGCGTTGCCAGGATTCGCATTTGTTTGCGCTGGCATGCCTTTGGATGCGTTCGCGTTTACGTGCCCATTGCCATTAACCTGCCCGCCATTTCCCTTATTGTTGCTATTATTTCCATTATTTTGGCCGAGTTGATTGGCCGCCTTTTCCGGCTGTTGCTGCTGCTGCTGCTGTGGTTGTTGTTGCTGCACCCGCACTGCATACTCCCTGTGCCGAATGGCTGGCAAACTGGGACTCCTCAGTCGCTGTTGCTGTAAATGGTGTGGGTGCTGCTGAGCTGCCTGTGGGTGTTGCAAGCGGCCCTTGGCGGTCTGGAGGGATGTGGGCACGAGTTCGATATAGCGTGCGGGCATCTGCATTGGTCGCGTCATTCCCGGCGCATAGCTGCCGCGTCTTCCCCGTCTGTAGACCAAATCGTCGTCCTCGAAGTCCGCATCACCATCCACATCCAAGTCCTCTATGTAACGCTCCAGTTGATTTCCATAGTCTTGACTGCCCTGGCGCTGCATTTGCGCGTAGTTGGGTTGACGCAACATCAAGTGCATATCTTTGGAGGTGTGCTGGGGATACTGCTGTCTGGAGTGACTCGATGTTTGGTTGGAGGTCTGACTCAAGTCCAAGTTGGAGTAGAAGGTGCGTATGGAGGTGCGCTCGATGTGCGATGTGTGTTGATGGTGTTGCTGAAGACGTGCGCTCGTATACATCTCATCCATGCGCGCCATTTCCTCTGCGGATTGCGGAACACAATCAATCAAGATAAGAGGTCTGGACAAAAAGAAACGTACCTCTTTCCTTTGCCCATTGCTGCTTCTTTAAGTCCAATAGCCTGTGGGTCTGTCTGCTTTCCGGGCCCGTTATCATAGCTAGACTGCAGTTGACTTCCTTTCTTTAACAGTTCATTGTCCTACGACCGATGACCTGCGCGCTTGGCGATAGGTCAGCAATAAATTCAAAATTTAGCTGCTATTTTTAAATGCTCGGCACTCCACCTTACTTTGCACTAGACACCACTCCAAGGCTATCGCGTTTAAACTAAATATAAGGCAGAAGCAGAATTCCTTCAAACTCCACACGGACTCGATTTGTTTTGCATTGGAATGCCCGATGGCGTTGTCTTGACTACAATGGCAACGTCATATATAATTGACTGGCAAATAAAAACTTGGGGCTACCATATGCCGTTCAAGTTTCGTTCGCTTTTTTGGGGTGAGTCCTTGCCGGAGTCCTTGCACTCGTGCGCAGTGGGTTAATGCATACAGCCCACACAACAGTGGAAATTGGGCAAGTTTCGATAACAGGTAACTCGATTTGGCCAACAAGTTTAGTTTTCATGGCAACTGCCAACTTATCAATTGGGGATGGACATTTCTGTACGTTTTGGTGCGTGAATCACGCTCATATACTGACCGCGAAAGGAAAAATCATCCTATACACATTTTCGTTGCCAGTCTGTGAATTATTTAAGGTATGCCTCAAGACTACTGTACGTCTTCCAAAGCTAGAGTGAGGTCAAGAGTACAAGTATTTCAGACACCCCTACTACTGCTCTGGCCAAATAAATAAGTTTTCATGTCTAGAATATTGTAAATATAGCAAACGAAATTCGTAATAAATATTTTCCTATTCGACTGCTAGATTTAAAGTAATAGAATTACATAAACTTAATTCATTCGGCACAAAATAATAAGTTTTGTGAGTAACACCCTAGCACAAATCGACCTCGGAAATGTTGTGAATCTAACTTTCGCCAATGAGTTTATTTCTTCGTTAAGAGCTCGTTTGTATTGATTTTGTAATACAAGTACAGCACTTTTAAGGAAAAACTGCCTGACATTTATATACAACAACATTACAATTAGTATTTGTTATTAGTTATTTATTTATATAATGCTAGCTTAAATTTAAAATCTTAAAACGAACAGAAGAGATTTTGTTAGCAATGGCTTCTGGGGCCTACAGCTAACTTTGTATGTACATTATACAGTATTAAAGAAAAAAGTGGAAATATGTACATATGTATGAGGATTGGGCTTAGATTTTGTGGTAACTGTTTGCGGCTTTTAAATATTTTAATATGAGTTTAGAGTTATGCATTGATGGGTTTGTAATTCAGGTGATAGTTATTAGTATTTTACCAATTTCTATTATGAGATTCATATTTCCTAAGACTGCTGACAAATAATTACGAAAATACTTTAGAATTTCATAATGTTGTGAGAAATAAAGTGTAAATAAAGTATACGAAATAGGAAGAACACCCTTTTTTTTGGCATAGAATTATTCCCAAATCAGTGCAAGTTAGGACTTAGAATAATACAAGTACTTTTGTTCGATTATTTTAGCTAGACAGACTGAAGATTGAAGTGGTTATATTTCGTCACACTTATTAAAACTAGATAGTTTGGACTGCCATTTTCTTCCGGATCTTAGATACATTCACATCTAACTATGTAGTATACAGCACTATATTCTCCGGTACATAAACGAAGGCAAATTCTGAAAAGTTCCTCTGTTTTAAATCAAGAGTTTACGGATAATATTCAAATATGATTTTGAACTACAAGTATATGTGGTTTAAATGTTTTTTTTTTTTTTTAATTTTGTGTAAGCCAAAATATTGAGAAGTGAGGTTGTAGCTCAACTACAGTTCTATTTAACTATGTCAATAACAAATATTGTTAGTCAGAGTTAAGAAATTAACTCAGTTTTGGATTTAAAAGAAGCTCAAATGATTTTTGGTAAGGGTGTATAAGTTGTTTAAATGAATATATGCTTTAATATTTAAATTTGAAACGATTAAAAACAAACTATATGGTTGCTTCCTTAGTGTTCAATTTGGGGGTCGTAAAATTAATTGGTAATTTGGAATATTTACGTACCTTTTTAAGTTAATGGCTGTTTTCAAATTATTTATTCACGTTATCTATAATCACAGGCCCATCGTTAGATTGTGATATTGCGTGTCACTTGCTGCTGTCTGTCTGCCCCAAGTTACACAGACTTGGATAAACAAGAAGAGATATAAAATATGCATACACTACACGTGGCGAACACAAGTAAACATTTGCATATATTAAAAGTCTATTATTATAGACCGAAACTATATTGGCCAATGTTGCTATGAGGAGTATGGGTTTTAATTCGCTTGCCATTTGGCTGGTTTTATTGATTATTTGCGACAATGGAGAGGTCTTAGTCCTTCACACAAACGGTGGTGTGGTGTGGTTGGGTGTGTGGTTCAATTAGCGTGCAACAAGTACGAGTGTTAGAGGAGTTGTGTGAGTGTTACCAAACAAAGTTACTTATCGGGCACAATCTCATTACGAGCCGCGGGCAATCGGAACGGCGTAGGTGTAAAACGCTAAACGTCCTTCGCTATCTGCTGGACAGGAATGCGCCAATCTTGGCCAACTCGATTAACATTTTTTTGCAGCAGGGCAAGAAGAAGAAGTAGAATCAGAGATGAAGAAGCGAGCAAGCGGACCTACCTATCTACCAACCTACCTACCTTCCTATCCAGCAACTGCTCTGCTGACTCAGAAATTTATTTCCCATGGTCAAATAGAAATGGCTAAAGATAAAAGGAAGAAATATCTCATAACCCATTTTCTATAAACATACATAAACCATAAAAGCCACCAACAGCAACAGTAACAACAACAACAACAACAAGAGCCGCAAGCCAGAGCAAAAGCTACCAGCCACATTGTTGTTGTTGCTGTTGCTGTTACCATTGCTCTGATGCTGTTGGGTCTGCTTTATACGCGTGGGCGTAGAAATCACTGCCAGTCAAAAGGTCATGTTATGATCTTGAGCGAACTATGTGTCTAAGTCGACGACGACGACGACGCCGAACATGAGAGCGAGGCGCAAGAGCAAGGCTCATGACACTCGAGTCGCAGCCAAAGAAACTGAAGATAGAAGACAGAAGACAGAAGAATGGAGCTGGGCTGTGCTGGTGGTGGAGGTGTGGGGGAGAGAAGCGACGGCGGCCGGCAATCAAGAAATCCCACTTGATACAAGTGCATTTATAAGACAGTATAATGAGTTTTTATAAACTTAAACAGGGTCGCCTTTTTAAAGCGTAGCGCCTTAGGGCGTCATTCACGAGCATTGTGGCACACAAACTAGACTTTTTGCTGAGCATGCCTGAGCATGTACGGCTGGCGCTCTAGCGCCTCTTGAGCCAAGTAGAGTACTATACTGCCCCAGCCTCTAACATATTGATAATGACGCCGACGACGACAACGCCGACGACCACGAGGACAACGACAACGATCATACATACCTATGTATAATTGCTTTTTGTTGGGTCAACAATCACATGTCCCCATAGTGGCGAGCACTGAAATTTCCCAGCAATTTGTCCAAAGAAAGTGATCATGTCTCGAATTGTGCTTCAGCAAAAAGTTATGATGATGATGATGATCGTCTGATCATGGCCGATCAGATGTGCATGCAGCGTGGCCATTTAGACAACAATTTCCATTCATCTCAGAGATTTTCACTGACCAGCGAAATGGTGATCAATTGAATGATCAACTGATCGTTTCGATCGCTCTATTCAACGGACATTGTATCATTTAGCGTACAACCTCAATACACCAACCAATAAACAAACAAGCCAAATGCTTAATAATTGTAATTTTCCATATTTTTTCATATGCTCGTCGACGTCCACACTCTACATTGAAATTGAACGATCAGAGACGACAGTTGCACGATCAAAAGATAAAGACAAACTCAACATAGCTGACAGTGCAAGTTGGGGCAGGCCCGAAGCGATCGATAGATCGATCGATCGGTGCAGCGATACTCGTACAAACAACCTTACATACTGATTAAATTGATGATGTTGACACGAACTTTGAACGAGTGAGCGATCATATTTTCTGTTGTTCATATTTTCAAGGGTTCATGCCGATTTTCGTCGGGCACTCAACGACAACGACGGGCGATTTTCATAAGTGATTTGGGTATCATACTCGTATCGAAATCATGTAAAAACACACACACACACACATACACACCTTTACATTTTCAAGTGAGAGTAGGAACATACAATTGAGATATACTCGTTCATAGAGCTACAGGTATTCTCGTATATGTATATATTTGGATATAGATATATGTGTATGTGTTGTTGCTGCCTGTGCAGAAGAGTCATTGATTTTGAATGGTTTTCAACGTTTAAGTTGTGGCCACGATTTGTTCGATATCATCATCAACAACGATCCAGCGATCTAGCGTTCAAGCGTTCGTTGGCTTGTTGGCTAAAAAGAGCTAATTTGTGTTTTGAGCCGCTGCTCAATTTTTCATTGACATTTGTGCATGTTGCTGGTGTTGTTATTTTTATTGTTATTGTTGTCCATTGAAGAACTTAATTGTTGTGCCATTGCACACAGATTTTTCTTTTTCTTTTTTAATATGTACACATGCAAAAATTAAAATAAATAAATTTTGTCATTCATTTAAATCAGTAACAGCAAAAACCCCAAAGGTGTTGAATATATTTATTAATTATATTTATGATAATATTTTGTTAAAAAATTGTTAAACCCAATAAGTTTTTCTATTTAATACAACTTTTAAAGGAATTTTTGAGCTGCTTACGTTATAATACTCTTCATTTTTGCCGTTGGTATTTAGCCTAAAAAAAAATAATTTGCAATTAAGTGTCTTACTCATTATCTAGTGCAGCGATTGCCCAATAATAATAATAATAATTGCTGTATATTTTCTATATATATTTTCTACATCTTGGCAAGTAATCAGTTTTGGAATTAGATATTCATATATGAGATTTGTTTGACATCACATCTCAATGGTTTTAACTGTGTTTAAAATAAAATATATAATAT